GTTGTCTTCTGCTTGTCAATTTATAGTATACTTTAGCGTTATTATCAGTTTCTGCAGTTGGCTCCATCCACCAGATATATATTTATTGAAGTGAGTCAAGGCTCACTTTAGAAGCCAAGTAAACGTATTGTTTACAAGTAGCTTTTTGGGGTAGTAACCCAGCCACACGTTCCAGTTTTGTTACATTGCCTTCGCCCCCGTTGCCAGTTCCTTTTTGCTCGCGCCGTGTTGTATGTAGTGCATGTAAATAACATTTTGTACGCCGAATGCTGCATGCGAAGTGGCTATTTGCATGATTAAAGTCAAAGAACAGGGGCCTGAGTTGACTTCTGAAATGTTTCCAGAATTAGAATGGTGCACTACTCTGTAGCAGAATATACATATGCTGAAAGGGGAGTACTGTCAAGTTTTGTTCTGAACTCGCCATTTGTTTTCTGAAATTCTGTTTAAAAAAAGTGTTTGAAAAAACCAGTGGAAATATTTGATGTTAAATCCAGGTGCTACATTACAGAATCCTGGTAGGATCTTAGAAGCAACCGCAATATATGAAACATTCAATTCCAAGCCAGCGCTTGGTGACGAAAAGATCAGTACGAGATTAACAAATAAGAACCCCCGGCTGCATAAGATGTCGCAGCAAATTCTTCTGTTTCTAGCTCACCCCAGCAGTAGCAACATTTGCATCGAAAGTCGTATTACGAGGTACCGCACACGACGAGGCAGCACGGCGCTATGCACGTATGCAAATACTATGAAAATACATGCAGTTTCCTTGCAGATAAGAACGAAGGTCCCCACTTCTGTGCAGAATGCAGTTTTCTTTCTCAGTGAATCCGCACTCCGTACAATCTCTCTGCATCCTGCAAGAATTTCACTGCATTGCAGCAAGCTTCCACTTCGGGGGGCCGTGAACGAAGAGTACCGGACAATCTGCCTCGGGCTGGTACTCTAACCTTGGGATACTCAGGCCTGAATCTGTAGCTGAAGGCTGCTGCTGCAAAACACTTGTTTCTGTTTGGGGTACGCGGAGTGTCCCAATCCCCGCGTCTCTCATGCATCTTCATACTGATGCCACCTTTGCACTCGTGCGCATTGATGAGGATATGGAAGCGTTTGTGAGTTTCCCAGGCAGGAAGCTCGAAGCAAAGGCAGTCCAAAGGAAATTCCAGTTCACTTTCCATGCCGGGAGCACGTGCGGACAGCTTTGGCAGTTGTACCTCTCGTTCGACTGCGACGATCGGGCAACGTTGCAAACGAAGGCCTCCTTACCGAAAGTGAAAAGTAACTGCGTGATATGAGGAGGCACGGAAAAAATGTGTGGCGGACGGCCCTTTCTTTGCACCTATCGGAAGAGAAGAGAGAGGCAGTGAGCGCAGGCGTAGCACCATCAGGTTATGCAACGCACGGATTGCGGGTGAGTACTATATATAGAGGGTTCTTGCGGGGAAAAGGTATTAATCTATCTACTGCGCCGTTCGGACGGTTAAAACTGAGTCCGGAGGATAAAATTCACAATGATAGGACCGCCAAAATTCTAGGCGGCTCTTGAGAGAGTGAATCCAACGAAGATAGGGGGAAAGTGGTAGTGCATTTGCAAACAAATGCATTATGATGGCGATATGCAGTGTGTGCAGCATAGAAACATATTCTGGCATTCATACTTGCGCCGGATGTTCCTTATGCTGCCCAACACAGAAATTCATGTCGCTTTTATATCAGTCACCAACTCCCCAACCCGAAACGAAACGACTCAGAGTTTGCGTTAGCTGCCCTCTCTCAAGCCACGCGAGGGCAAACAAAAAGTGCATTTTGCAAAGTTCACCGCGTGCAGAGGGTGCGGATTTACTTCACCTGTACTTGTTGATGGTCACACCCAGCAGTTGAAATTTTCACACATTGAGCGACCTAAATTCGAGGCCTATTGGCCAGCTTTGAATTTCGGCTAAGGCCGATCACGATATATTCCTCATCATGCATCTATGTGTTAATGCGCGCGTGCATTAGCCACCGTTCGTCTCTAACTAATGCGTTTATTCTACATCTCTGTCTGTCTGCGGGTCCATACGTATTTGTACGCTCCTTCTACGTTCCTGCCAAATGCATTCATTTGCCTGGTGTCTCGTTCCTTCCGTACCCATCTATCCCATGCCACCGGTTCCTGCTCGTCTGTCTTCCTACTGTTTTCTGCCGCTGCAGCTGTTCTATTTGCAGCTCCCCCTCTCGCTTTCACTGCCTGTCTGTAACTACTTCCGCTTTTTTGGAATGTATCAAACGCCGTTAATGCAGTAAAATGAGTTAGGAAAAAAAAGGGGAAGGGAGGGAGTGGAGGTCTCCGGGGTGGAGTGAGGTATGCACAGAGCTCGTCTGCCAGTAACTATATTCTGTACACCAGACGCGACTGGCCTCCTTGCCTCACCCCGTAGAGCGTGGATGCACTTAGAAGTAATAAATGGAAGATAATGAGCTTAAGCCCGTAATGGAACAGCTGGGGGTTTGCAAATGAACAAAACCCTCGCCACAAATCTATATCGACACAAACGATATGCTTGTCCTCGTGCTTTCGTCTTATGGCGCACGCAGAGGTCGTTTACGTGTGCGTACGCTTCCTGCTCCCCCAAGGCATAGACACGCTCCTGCAACCGTTGCTTGTCATGTTGTCTTCGCTGCAGCAGATGCAGCAGTATCCTGCGGCTACATCCACGCGCTGGCACTTGCTGTGAGACCGTCTTGATGAGCTCCCATGGACACTTCGAGGTTATCTTGTGCATAGGCTTCAAAGGCATTTCTTCTCAGCATTCGTCTTCGTAGGATGACGCAACTGACGACGGTTACCACCAAAA